CCACTGACCTTTTTGGTTAGCAGCTAAGTGCTTTAACCACTGCGCCACCAGGGCTCCTTAGCTTTAGGTCAGAAGACCTCAAATTGAAGTGTGATTAGAAACACCTGATGAAATGATAAAGCATCTGAGAGACATCATGGTCAAATCCCTCTCTGCTGCACCAAATCTGAGGTGCGACACGGCAAGTCTGTGATGTACTGTTAGATTGTAAATGTTTTCTAGCTAGCCAGGAGACCATTAGAAAAAGAGAGCTAATAGCTAATATGGATTGCTCCATAAACATCATGCCCTTCCCGTCAGAGCCGGAACACACTTTAACACATGGAAAGTAGCTTTTATTACTTACAAGAAGCAGCTAGTGTATAACCGATGAGCAGTCCCCTGGCTCAAAAACTGTCCAGGCAGAGAGAACGTCTTCCATGCACATCCCAGATTGTGTTGTGGGTGAGAGACTTAAATGGGACAGTTACATGACAGGCTGTTCTCCCTGGTTTCTGGAAACTGTCCCGGTGAAACTCTTTCACACCTGCCCTCCACCTGGCATAGTGGCTGATCGACATATTGGGAGCCTACCTTCTTCTGGTCTCCCCTGGCCAGGTGGACACAGTTAGGTGGACTGTAAGTTTAATACTATGTGTGCCCCACCTGCAGCATAGCTGAGGAGACAAAAAAAATTCCTCTTCCCAGCCTATGTGACTAATTGTATCTTTTTAACCCTGCTAACAAACGTTCTACTGCATCACGCCCCCGACATCTTGAGGTGAGGAGTGACTAGCCCAGAGTAGTAGCTTTTTAACTCTGCTAACAAGCATCAGGCGTCAGTGAAGGGGTAGTGGTGCTGCTGGTTTGTTCTGAGGCCTAAAAATACCAGCAGGGGGAGGAATGAAGAAAACCATGGTCACTCGGCTTGTCTGAAGGACCGCCTCTTCACAGCATCCATTTTCCCAAGCCCTTTCCAGCTTTGGTCAGCAGGTCTGGGGTGTGGCCTGGGAACTTGCATTTTTCACCAAGTACCTCAGGTGATTCTGCTGCAGATGGTTCAAGTACCGTATTTGAGAAAGACAGTCCTGGACCCTGGGGCAGACTCCGGTTCTCCTGCTCATGAGTGGTGAGTGTGTGTTTGTGTTTTACCTGCTTTGGTCTGGGCTCCAGGAGAGCCTGTTGCCCAAGTGAAAGGATTTGCTCCTACCTAGATCAGAAGAGGCCAAGACTACGTGGAAAATAGCTCCCATTTGTTAGGCCATGGGCCTCTTACCCAATACTTTCTGGGTAAAGCAGTGGTTCTCAAACTTGTTCCACATTGGAACGACCTAGGGAGTTTTAAAAAATATTGATGACTGGGCTGCACTCCCAAGAGTCTGATTTAATTCGTCTGGATGCAGTCTTGATATTTGAAAATTTTAAAAGCTCCCCAGGTATTTCAAATGTGCAGCCAAAGTTGAGAACCACTATGGTAGAGAAAAGCTTTTGGTTTTCCTGGAGCCTTGCCTAAAAACAATCTTAATGTTTAACATGATGGACACTATAGAAGAAATTCTGACATTTGCATTCTGCAAGGCTAAGCAAATAAAAGCATTATCAAGAATATATGAGATGATATGTTAAATATGTTTACCTATGAATACAGTCAAGGATAATGAAAATATCCTCAGTCTATGGCAAGAAAGAAAGGCATGGCATTATAAAATTCAGAATTCTCTAAAGCATCTCAGCTAGAGATAAAGTCAACTACAGCAATACTTCAGGCTTCAAAAGCTTTCTCTAAAGAAACAGGAAAGTGTTCAACCTTTATGCTTTTTCTCTTTTCTCCCGAGGCCTAGGTGATCAGATTCACAGTTGATAAAAGTACAGAGTTTCAGGAATAGCTATGGTCTGATTCATTTCCTTTTCTAGAAATAGGTGGATGGGTTTAACAGCAAAAATATGAGTAGACTATAGCTTTTGAACAAACGGACAATTGAATTCTGAACAGTAGACGAACAATGACTATTAAATCTGTAATCTGTATGTTCACACAAGTTTAGTGACTAGTTTGTTTTAAGCTTTTGTTTTTCATAATAATATGTGTGTTCGGATTTTGTGAAGTTGAACTATTTGTCAAAATACAGTGCAATTCTGTCTTTAAGGATGATGGGATTTATCTTAGAAATAGGCTACATAGGATTATACCTGAGTTAAGTTGGTTCCTGGCTGTGGAGTTTAAGAGACCGTGTGTGCTCAAAATTAAGAGTTCTCAACCTTGGGTCCACCTATAGGTAGACTTTGGAGGGGGATCCTAGGGCAACCTATAGGTAGACTTTGGGGTGTCCATATACTCTTATGAAATTGTTTGTATAATTTTGAATGTCTATTCAAGACACTGAAGGTCTGTTTTTCTGAGACGAGATACATAGTTTTTATCAAATTCTCAAAGGGTTTATAGGCAAAAAGGGTAGAACCCAATGGCCCATATGTTTAGAAACTTGTCTAAGACAACTTTAACACAGTGTGTCATTGAGAACAAGGTATAGAAAACGAAGAAAAATAACTGTTTTTGCCTTCAGCCTTACTCTTCCCAAGATCAAGATTATAGATGTTTACAGGATATACCAAAGACCATTATGTCTTAGTCAAAATCGATTTGCTATTGAATGAGAATTAAAGGGACCCACAGTGGCAACAACTCTGAATTTGCTTTTTTTGCTGTGGCTTCCATACCATTGCAGGAAGTGTGGGATGGGGGTGGGGGTGGAGTGGTTTTGATCAGCCTGGGAAAATTGGTAGTGGCCAAAGGAGGCCCTCTCTTTCAGTTTACAGAGTGGGTGCAGTTTTCCAAATGTAGTGCAGCAGGTAAATTCACTATTGTTCCATCTGATTCCTGCTCCTACTTCTAATTAGATGATGCTACTTTGAGGTGGTCATAGTCAAAGGCTGCCAATGCAGTAAAGGTGTACCTAATTTTAATCATACTCAACATGGGAAACTCTGGCTTTTTCAAAACAATAATGAAAAGGGTAATGACTTTATGAAACCAAACCAAAACCCAAACTCACTGCTGTTGAGTCGATTCTGACTCATAGCAACCCTATAGGACAGAGTAGAACTGCCCCATAGGGTTTCCAAGGCTGTAAATCTTTATGGAAGCAGATGCCACATCTTTCTCCCGTGGAGCGGCTGGTGGGTTTGAACTGCTGACCTTTCAGTTAGCAGCCAAGTGCTTAACCACTGCGCCACCAGGGATCTTTAACTTTATGAAAAACTTACTTTAAATAGAAAGTTTCCTTAATTTTAAAATATATTCAACTTACAAAAATTAATTCTAATTTCTTTCTGGGAATATAAGGAAATGACATTTAGCCTCATTATGGGTAAGAGTGTGATTTTGTTTAAATAATTTTTAAAATAAAATTTATTTATAATTATATACCATTGCCCTTTGAAGATATTTGAGTAGGGTAGATATGTAGCTAGATATTCCTCTGGTGTGAAAAACGTAATGGTGTGAAGTTAATTTTTTTTATTATCAAGGCTAATTCTAAAATACATGATCTATTATATAGTAAAGGAGCCCTGATGGCAAAAGTTAAGCGCTTGGCTGCTAACTGAAAGGTTAGCAGTTCAAACCCAGCCAGTGGCTCCACAGGAGAAAGACTTGACGATATGCTCCTGTAAATATCACAGTCTAGAAAACCCTATGGGGCAGTTCTACTCTGTCACATGGGGTCGCTGTGAGTCGAAAGTCGACTCAATGGCACCTAACAACATTATGTAGTAGTTTTCATGAGGACATAAGCAGTGACAGTTACCTCTGTACACATTTGGATACGAGGCTAAAATATCATATTTTTATATAATGGTTTTGGTGTTTAGGGGAGTTGGTCTGCATTTGTATAAACAACAAGAAATGGTAACTTTAATTTTTATTTAAAATTAAGAAAAATGTTTTCTTTAATTTGAATTATTGGACTAATTTCAGAATAATCCTTTTTGTCCTATAGATGTAGGAATACCAATGAACATTTAAAATTGATATTGCTGCCATTCTTTAAATTGAGTGACCAGGAATTAACTAAAATTTAGTTTGTGTTTATTTTTGATTTCCTAGTTGATATTGACCCAAGCCATTTTCAAATAGAAGTGGCAATATTATGTCTCTTTAAAGATTACAGAAACTCTAAACTTAATAATGACACTACATTTGATCTGTTGATTTATTGTCTTGAACCTAAAGATTCCTTCACTAACTCTTGAGAAACCAATCAAATGCAAGCACTGTTTGTTACATGCTAATGATTTTTCAAAATGTCTTAAGCTTTAAAAATCCCTGTAATTTTTTCCATTATAGATATGTGTCTGTGGTGGCAAAAGTGAAAACAAATCAGTTCAAATGATCTATATACAAATTAAAAATGAATATGATTGATTGCAGGACTCATAAAAATTGGGTATTGATTCTTCTTGGGGAATAAGAGTGAGGTGACATTTATCGCCATTATGGAAAAGTGTGAATTTAAAAAAAATATATTAATTCATGGTATTTTAAGCATCATTAAGGTTATCTAGTATTCTCATACTATTACCACTTCAAGATTTCTGATAGTTCGATATCCAGATAAAAATCCCACCATAGTTTTGGATAATACCTAGTAGAACGTAAGCTATTGCTTAGTTTACAAAGTTTAGGAAGAGACTCTGACCCTTGTATGTTTTTCAAAACAATCTATATCATTTATTTAATCCCAAGGATTGTTAAAATTGCTATCATGCTTCTTCCCTCGGTCCTGGCTACTGTTCTTTTGGGGGATGCTGCTCTGGTCCATTCTTTGAAACAACATATATAATCTAGCAAGGCACATTTCAACCAGGCTTTAGGTTGGAGCCAAGTCAGGAAAATATTTTCACGTAATCCTGTCTCCATCCTTTCAGTCTGAGGTGGAACTCTTGAGAGTGAACTATTGACAGTGTGGTGGAAAAATCATATCGGGTGGGATGTTGACTACATGGCCTTGTATAAGAGACCTACTACTCTAAGATTCCGTGAATGGAATGTGTGGGGAGGATTAGTACAGCCTTCAGGTAGTAGCTATAGGTATTAAAGCTTCAGATGACCTCCTTCCATGAGCTTCCTAATGTTAGTGTCCAGCCTCTGCCATCCTTGGGGCACCTGGGACCTCGCTAAGCTTTGCTAGTGATAGCCACACAGGGCAGTGAGGCTCAGCTGGTCATCACTGGGTGAGGACGTGTCAGGGTCATTGTAGATCTGAGTTAGGGCTAAGCTCAGGATTTCTTTCTTTTCTTTGTAAAACCGTAGTTCTTGTCCTGCCTTCCTGGCTTCCTCCAACTCTCTCAGGGCCATTCGCAGCTCTTGAGAGAGGATTCCTGGAGACTCTCGCTCCTTCATGATCCAGTCCAGAGCCATGTGGCTGCGCATCTTTTCATCTAGGGAATACTGGGAATAGTAGGAGATGACTTCCTAGGAATAAAGAGACAAAGTCCAGAGTGTAAATAGAGAACAACAAAGGCACCATACCCACAGCCTTCCATGACGTTTCTTTGCCTCCACATACCCATCCATCAGGGTTTTACCAACAACCAAGTCTAATAGTGAATATACCATGGACTGCCAAAAGAATGAACAAATCTGTCTTGGAAAAAGTACAACCAGAATGCTCCTTAGAAGCACGGATGATGAGGCTACAGCTCACATAACTTTGGACATGTTATCAGGAGGGATCAGTCCCTGGAGAAGGACATCATGCTGGGTAAAGCAGATCAGTGAGAAAGAGGAAGACCCTCAGTGAGATGGACTGACACAGTGGCTGAACAATAGGACCTAACAACAACAACAAGTCTCTCTGATGTTTACAAACCAATAAAACCAATTGCCGTCAAGTCGATTGCGGTTCACGGAGACCTCATGTGTGTCAGAGTAGAACTGTGCTCCACAGGGTTTTTAATAGCTGATTTTCAGAAGCAGATTGCCAACCCTTTCTTCTGGGAGGCACCTCTGAGTGCTGTTTGCATCACCCAGGGATTTTGATGTTTACAAACTGAAGCCATACTTCTTAAAACTAAATGATGGGGTAAGCTGGTACGAGTTGATTGAAAACACAACCACCAGGAATGACTCAAGAATGTTCACAAAACAAAGCTGTCACCTTGCTGGAAAGTACAAATTTCCTTTGAAAATACATTCCCATAACAACTAGCATGAATATTACCTCATTTAGTCATTGAACAGTTCTGCCCAGAATTATCTCCTGGCGAGATAGAGAGAGGGAAACAGCTACACCGAGGGACGAGGGACGTGGGCAGGATTGGTTTTGGTTACACTCATTGCAGAAGCCTAATAAGCAGGAAGCTTTCAGTCAAGGGTACCTCATGAGAAGACTTAGAAACCAGTAGCGCCAACTTACGAGCTGCTGTTGTTAGCTCACACAGTCCAAATGGCTCACAGTAACTACAGAAAGAACTTAAAAAATGTATTACGGAATATAGACATTATTGTCATTGATATAACAATGGCACCCTCATGGTACATTTCCTCTTATGTCTGCAAATAATTAAAAAAAAATTAGTCACTACCTGACAATTCTCATGTAAAACAAACGCAAATATGTTGCTAACACCATATATAGGTTTGATGGATACGCTTTAAGAAGATCGTGTAGAGTAGATGTGTTGCTTATTTTTATTTTCAAGGACATATGGTATTTATTTATGACCTTAACAAATTAAAAACAATCATGGAAAAGTGTTTATAACCAACCGGGCATATTTGAAAGGCTTTTTATAAAATCAAAGGAAAAGGAAAAAAAAAAGCCAAAGCCATTGTCGGCTACTCATTTCTTTGCCATCCTTGACATTTTGAAAGCCAGACTTTCTAAGCAAAGAACAACTAAAAACTCCTGGGGCTGCAGCGCCTAGCAGATGCTCACATGCACCCTCATCCTGATGACTAGCAGAGGCTTTGTTCCTCAGACAAATGACGGTTAGGAAATTCTTGAAAATAAACTACTGTCTTTCAAATTCTAGCAGTGGGGAAAGGAAGAATAAATTTTTGAGGATAGTAGGTGAAAACTGTTAAATACAGGACGGGATTTTGTCTTTGCCATTAAAAAAAGGGGGAGAAGGATGCTTCTCACAGGTAACAAAGAAATAGTATACGCTATCTCCTAAAAATAAGGAAGAAATTTACAAATGAAAAAATTGCATTGATTGCCAGCCTGTTCACCTGTATGATAATTTCTTTTGTCCCTTGGGATCTTTTGGTGAGGGTTGCTACAAACAACTTTACCTCTCTTCAGTGAGGCGGCTTCAGAAGCTATGCATTCTCAGGTTTCTTTCTGCTTGAAGGTGTAAGAGGGAACAGATTCGAATTCTGTGTAATAGGGTGGGTGCGTAGAGTAGATTCAGCATTTGACTCAAAAATTATGTCTGTCTGAAAATCCCTCCATTCTGGCAGTCACTTCAGGTATCTGAATTAGTCCTATGCCCACTCAAGATTCTCCTTAGTGTGTGTATACGGCCAGTCCCTGACTCAACTAGATTGTTGTATATATTTTTTCATGGTGCCCTCTACTCTGACTCAATAAATAAGATGCCAAATTTAAATGGAGAAAAATCTGAATATAGGGGCTCCCCAAAGAGAACGACAAGCCAGCTGCTTAGTCCGTATAACACAAACCTGGTTTGGGTTGGAAATCTCACCTGTCGAGAACACTTTGTTTCACGAAGGGCTTTTAGGCTTCCATTCCAGTGCAAGAGTTGAAAAATGGTCATCAGCTCCTACAAAACCCAAACACCTGTCATAGGTCTCAAAAGCAGAAACGTGAAAGAAAGTCTCTCAGGGAGAGTTGAGTAACTGATTCCAAAATCTCTCAGGGAAAGAGAATACACAATATGGTCAGAACATGCTAGAACTCTTCAAACCAGAGTCCGCAGCCTTGTGGAGCATTCTCCCTCCCCTCCCCTGCTGTAATCATACTTGCACAATAAAATGACTAAATAATTAACAGATATCTTTCAACATTAAAAATATATATACTCTTAACAATTCTACATCCAAGAAGTTAGACATTACCCATACCAGCACATGTGAGAAATAATGTACAGACAAGGTTATTTATCACATCAATTTTTGAAACTGTCTGAGACTGGGAGCATCTTAAATGCTGATTTTTAGGTGAACGGCTAAATAAAGTGCAATACATCCACACTACTGAATACTTTGTAGTTATAAAGAAAGGATGAGAATGCTCTCTAGGTTCTGATATAAGCAATCTCTAACGTTTATTAATATTTTTTTAAAAACGCTAGGTGAACAACAGTGTGTATTATGTGCTACTATTTCAGTAAAAAAGAATAGCGCATCCCACCCTATATACATATTCTAGGCTTGTACATGCCTAGAGTAGTCCTGGCAAGATACAAAAGAATCTCAGAACATTACTTGCCTCTGAGAAGGGGAAAGGAATGTCTGGGGGCAGGGGTGGGATGGAGAGAGTCATCTGACATTCTTTTGCACCTTCTGAGTTCCATATCAGTTAACTATATTATGTATTAAAGAAAAAAATTTAAATATTTCAAAATTTAAAAGCCCCCAAGTAAAGAGAGAAATATGTAATAGACAACCTACAGAAACTGTAAAATACTTCAAAGTATATAAAGTCAGTCAAGAAAATGCCTTAAGATATGGGCAATAAAGTTTGTATTGAAATTAAAACCCACTCATAGTTGCCACATCCATGACTTCTCCCTCTGTCCTAAATGGAGACCCACCCTCTTCCGAGGGTCGCATGACCTGTTTCCTCCACTTCTTCCTACCCCATCCAGATTTTCACTCTGTCACATCAACATGATGATTTGGGAAAATGCTGGTGTTTTGTTCAGTAAACCAAATATTGCTCTCAGTGCTGTGCTTCTCAACCTTTTTTCCCCAAAGTAACCCTAGTGGCTGAGGAAGGTAGATTTATTCTGCTACCCCCACCTCCACCAGTACCACCAAACTTAACCAGTTGCCATGGAATCGATTCCAAGTCATGGCGATCCCATACGTGGCAGAGTAGAACTGTGCTCCATAGAGTTTTCAAGGCTGTGAGCTTTTGGAAGCAGAGCTTTTGTAGCTTTTCTTCTGAGGCACCTCTGAGTAGGTTGGAACTAACAACCTTTCAGTTAGTAGTCAAGTGTTTAACCATTTGGGCCATCCAGGGACTTACACCAAATCTACCTCACCCAATACTTTGCAGTCATAAAAATGAGTAGGAAGGCTCTTGACGTACTGATGGAAACAGTTTCTAAGGTGTTAGAAGAGGGCAGATGTTTGCAAATAAGAAATTCCTTTTAGTTTCATGTTTTATGTTAAGAATCCATTTGAATTTTGTATTCTACTCTATGATATATCCATTTTTAAAAAGAGAAAATAAATATTATCCCCACTCCTGCTAATTTTCCCAAAATCTTCTTGTAAAATTGACAACCCAGGAAGATATACTGGATTTATTTTGTGGCTTTCAATACCCCTCTTGGCCTTGCCCTGGAGTCTCTGCAGGCCAGTTTGAGAAACAATAGGGCTCTTCAAGCAATTCCCACTCCTGGATCCTATCCACTGATTAGCGTTGCCTTAGTAACACACATTTCTTTGCCAGTGTCTTCCTTCTGGCTATCATTCGAAGTCACACACAAGCCCCACCCACCTTGCAGATAAAGTTTTGTCATTCTATCCAGCAACACCCCTAAAACTGTTGTTGTTTGCTGTGGAGTAGATTCCGACTCATGGTGACCTCATATGTGCAGAGTTAAACCGCTTCATAGTGTTTTCCAGGCTATGACCTTTGAGAAGCTGATTGCTAGGCCTATCTTCCGAGGCCCCTCCGGGTGGATTCAAACCCACCACCTTTCAGCTAGTAGACAAGCACTTAACCCTTTGCACTACCCAGGGATGCCCCCTAAGGCTGTATACTCCACAGTTCTGCTGAGAACAGAACCAGAAACCTTTCTCACACCTCTCAACACCTTACATCTCTCAAAAACTCCCCAGAGAAACCTTACCTGTTTTTGCCCCAGGAGGGTATCATCCTCTTCCTCTGCTCTGGCTTGCCTAAACTCCTGTTCCAGCATTAATTAAGCAGTTTTCAGCAGCTACTTCAGTGTTGCTCTTGCTTCTAAACTCCCTAGGGAAGATACCTTTCTTTCCACTTTCTTACACTATTTCTAGATCAAGTTCTTGTCCTCCTCTTGAGAAATATTAATTTCCCCATCATTATGTAAAATATATTTAAATATTTCCATGTACTTCCTGTCCCTCTTCTTCATTTTCCCTCAGAAGACCAAATTCACTGTCTTCAAATCTTCCCAAATCTGTATGAACTCTCAACTCAGCTCCAGGAAATCCTTCCTTGCCTCTAATCGATTCCATCGGAAATCCTCAAATCAACTGCAGACTGCAAAGGAGAGGGCTGCTGTGGACTTCTGTAAGGAATTGCTTTCTCATTTCACTATGATTAGGAATGCCTGGCTAGTACAAATGGTTAACGGGCTTGGCTGCTAATTGAAAGATTAGAAATTTGAGTCCATGCCAAGACGACTCAGAAGAAAGGCCTGGCAATCTACTTCTGAAAGATCAGTCATTGAAAACCCTAGGGAGCACAGTTCTATTCTGACACACACGGGCCTACCACATACTCTGACGCACATGGGCCACGACGAGTAGGCATCAACTCAACCGTGACTGGTTTTCACCGTGATTCATTGCTGCTTGGTTTTTACAATACCTCTCTATACCGGGAGAACCCCTGTCATTCTAAATGAAGTTACTTGTCTGCTCAGTGAGGCCTCTTACTCCTCACTGAGCCTTTTGTGCTGTGTTGTTTGCTGTGTGGGCTGATCTAGAAGACTGGAAAGTCTGTCTGAACGGACGGAAGAACAAAAAGCTGGCCTCATAGGTTGGGCCGGGGCTGGGGTGAGGCAAGGGAGGCAGTTGTCCTGGATGCAAAATTTAAGTTATGGGAGGTGAGCCGTACAAGTGCAAGGTCTTTTATTTAAAACCATGTCTTTATTTTAAATTTTGGTACTTTGTTCATCATGGATTTTCTTTTTTTGTTTTAATTTTGATATAGGAGCCCTGATGACACACAGTTAAGTGCTCAGCTGCTAACTGAAAGGTTGGTGGTTTGAACTCACCCAATGGCTCTGTAGGAGATCTGCTCCCCTAAAGATTAAAATCCAAAACCAAGCTTGTTGTGGTCGACTTGATTCCAACTCATAGTCACCCTACAAGACAGAGTAGAACTGCCCCATAAAAGTTTCCAAGGCTGGAAGTAGACTGCCACATCTTTCTCCTCGAACAACCAGCCTTTCAGTTAGCAGCGGAGCACTTAACCACTGCGCCACTAGGGCTCCTCCAGTGTAGATTACAGCCTAGAAAACCCTATGGGGCAGTTCTACTCTGTCATATGGGATCGTGATGAGTCAAAATTGACTTGATGACACCTAACAACAGTCACAACTTTAAAAAGTACTGCAGTAAAATCTGGTTTATCTTGACTGAGGCTTTTGGTGTCCCCTTAAATTTTGTGCACAAGGTGAGCACCTCACTCCCCTCACCCGAGTCCAGGCCCTCTCATGGGTCTGTATCAGGGACAGGCTGGCTTCATGGGCATTCAATCTGTGCTGTCACAGAGGGCCCCTCACTTGGATTAATGTTCTGCTATTGCTCTCTTGAAATTCTTAATTTTTTTCACAAGGGGCCCTGCATTTTCATATTGCACTGGGCCCCGCAAATTATGTAGCTGTTCCTGGTCAGTCAAGTAAATTTAAAATCGAATGCAAAATCAAGCTGTGTTTTCTTTCTCTTCTGGGAAGATGGCAGTTGCCACCTTCATCCTAATTGCTTTGTTGGTTCATTTTGTCATTCCTTCAATTTAAACCACCAGCAACTGGGCTCTGTCAGAACAGTGCTTCCTGGGGTGGCCTCTATTAGAAACAATGTTTGGCTTTTCAGCTACTTTATTGGGAGAAAATGCACATAGCTTCTCTCTGGAGCTACCTCTGCATGGCTGGCTTGGCTCTGTGCTTCATCAGAAACAAGAAAAACAAACACTGTAAATCTAGAACTTGAAAAACAGGTGGGCACCATCACCCCACCCAAGAGAATCGATTTAAGAGGAAATTTGTTTATGGGATGAGGTTTTAAAAGGCGACCTGGAGAATTTAGCAAGGATGTAAATAAACAGCTCTGGCTTGGATTGCATTAGGCTTCAGAAGAAACATATTAACAAGCTTCAGTCAAAGTCTGCCTAGAATGTGACCTTGACAAGACTCAAGGACTGGTGCTGCCCTGCCGTCCCTCCCTCCAGACTTCTTGCCATTTTCTTTACGGCAAGGCGACGTCAAAACAGGCATCCCAGCTTGCCTCACACGATGTGAAGATAGGTAGAGGCCTATCATGTTTCCTTGTGAGCCTGGCTGGGTGACGGCCCCCTTGAAAGCCTGCGGGCAGTCGGGAGGCACCCGCTTTGTTTTTATACTGTACACAGTGGTCCATAGCTAGATATAAACCCACATCTATTACCCACCAGGGGAACTGAATTGCTGTGTTGGCTATAGAAAGAGCCCAGGTCTGTGGTCATTTCCCATTATGTGCAGACGAGAGCTGATGGGTTTAACCCAGGCCATTAAAGAATGTGCTGGGTCCCAGCAGGCAACCTAGAGCTGGCGGAAGAAGGAAAGATGTGCTCCATCACTCTTCTGCTGGGTTGCCAGATCCGTACCGGGGGTGGGGTGGATTTTCCCTGCCCTCATGGCTTCCTCTTCCTTTGCCCCCTCCCCCATCCCCCTCCCCCATTCCTGCACTCAGCTTTGTTTTCGAGAATTTATGAAGCTTTTCCACAGTATGATTCAAATTATTATTTCACTCAAACCACACAGAAAGCACACAACCCTTAGCAAGGCAATTAAAGTACAGGCAGTCCCCAGGTTACAAACGTCTGACTTGTGGACAACTCGTACTTAAGAAAGGACTGCCATGAAGCATATTAGATTAAAAATTTGAGTTAAATACATACAATGGTTTGTACTAACTAACGTACACACTACTTCGTGATGCTCATGAAAATACAGTGTGGTTTGGGAGTGTTTCCTAAGTGTTTTATGTGCACAGAAAGGTAAGATATATACTGTAGACTAAGGTAAACATTTGACTAACTGATGCTAAATAAGAACCATGTGTACCTGTTCCTACAAATTTGAATTAAAGACAGACTTAGGAACGGATCTTGTTCGTAACCTGGGGACTGCGTGTATTACCAAAAGGAGATTGAGTAGATCCTTTCATAGTACTTGAAAGGAATTTTAAGATTTTTTAAAATCTCACCTTGCCCATCTTTGGCAGACACCCAAACACATTCAAAATCATTCTTGATTTTCTGTAAATAGCTACTAAATCACACACAAGCTACTGTATCCTGGGGCGGGCAACATTCAATCTATAATAAAAGAAGTACAATAGTCTTTTGAGGGAAGGAGGAATTAAAGTAAATGTGGTTCCTCCTTGGGGGAAGCATTGTACTAGATGCCATATAAATGTCATCTTATTTAAGTCTCACAAAAACGCTATGAAATGGATCACAACCACCATATAAATCTGTTTCATTTGGTTTAAGGGGAACTTTGCAATGAAAAGCTAGTCATAAGACAGTATTCTTCACTTATTTCTTAGATTTAAGTCTTACTCCCTTTTACTCGGGATTGGAGGAAGACTTATGAACAACATTAACAACCTGCATTATGCAGATGACACAACCTTGCTTGCTGAAAGTGAGGAGGACTTGAAGCACTTACTGTTGAAGATCAAAGACCACAGCCTTCAGTATGGATTACACTTCAACATAAAGAAAACAAAAATCCTCACAACTGGACAAATAAGCAGCATCATGATAAACGGAGAAAAGATTCAAGTTGTCAAGAATTTCATTTTACTTGGATCCACAATCAACATCCATGGAACCAACAGGCAAGAAATCAAAAGATGCATTGCATCAGGTAAATCTGCAGCAAAAGACCTCTTTAAAGTGTTAAAAAGCAAAGATGTCACCTTCAAGACTAAGGTGCACCTGACCCAAGCCATGGTGTTTTCAATGGCCTCATATGCATGTGAAAGCTGGACAATGAATAAGGAAGACTGAAGAAGAATTGATGCCTTTGAATTGTGTTGGCAAAGAATATTGAATATACCATGGACTGCCAAAAGAATGAACAAATCTGTCTTGGAAAAAGTACAACCGGCATGCTCCTTAGAAGCAATGATGGCGAGACTATGCCTCACATACTTTGGACATGTTATTAGGAGGGATCAATCCCTGGAGAAGGATATCACACTTGGTAAAATAGAGGGCCAGTGAAAAAGAGGAAGACTCTCAACAATATGGACTGACACAGTGGCTGCAACAATGGGCTTAAGCATGGCAACAAATGTGAGGATGGCACAGGACTGGGCAGTGTTTCCTTGTGTTGTACATAGGGTCACTATGCATCGGAAACAACTTGACGGCACCTAACAACAACAACAACAACATGACAATTTGGAAAGGAGCCCTGGTGGCACAGTGGTTAAGTGCTTAGCTGCTGACCGGGAAAGGTCAGTGGTTTGAACCCACCTGCTGCTCTGAGGGAGAAAAATGTGGCAGTCTGCTTTTGTAAAGATTACAGCCAGCCAAGAAAGCCCTTTTGGGCAGTTCTACTCTGTCATATGGGGTTGCTATGAGTCAGAATTGACTTGATGGCAGTGGGTTTTTGGTTTATGGTAATTCAGCGCAACAGTGAAGTGCTCGGCTGCTAACTGAAAGGTTGGTGGTTTCAACCCACCCAGCCGCTCCTCAGGAGAGAGAGCTGGCAGTCAGCTTCCATAAAAATTATAGCCAAGAAAACCCTATGGGGCAGTTCTCCATCATACGTGTTTGCTGTGAGTCAGACTCGACTAGATGACACCCAACAACCACAACATAGCAATTTAGCTAAGAGTATCCAAACCAAACCAAACTCATTGCCATCGAGTCAATTCTGACCTATAGTGACCCTACAGGACAGAGTAGAACTGCCCTATAGGGTTTCCAAGGCTGTAATCTTTACAGAAGCAGACTGCTACATCTTTCTCCTGCAGCTGAGCTATAAACAAAAACACATTGCCATTGAGTCAATTTCTGACTCAGCGACCCTGTAGGATAGAGTAGAACTACCCTATAAGGTTTACAGGGCTGTAAATCAATCAAACACAAATCCAGGTGTTGCTGCGGAGGTATTTTGTAGATGTGATTAATATGTACAGCCAGTTGATTTGAGGTAAAAGAGCTTGTTCTCCATAGTCTGGGTGGGACTCATCCAGTCAGCTGAGGGCCTTAAGAGTAAAACTGAGGTTTCATTGAGGAAGAAGAAACTCTGCCTCAAGACTGTGGAATAAAACCCTGGCTGCGTTTCCAGCTTGCTGGACTGCCCTACAATTGCATGAGCCAATTCCTTGAAATAAATCTGTAAATATGTATCTCCTACTGGTTATGGTACTCTGGGAGAGCCCTGCCTAATCCACTCCCCTTCATAAAAGCAAAGATTGTACCTTGTTTGCTTGTTTGCTTTAGCCTACTGAGGTATTGCGCTAGTTTCTGGGAGTTTTAAATTAAAATGACCAAGATGCTTAGGACCAAAAGAAAAAAGTAGGTTATTGGAAGAGCAGATGTTAGTGATAAGAGTGACTACTTCTCCCAGGCTTCTGGTTTGGAAAATCAAATGAATATGTGGCGGGATGTCAGGTACCTGAAATTCCAGCATGGTCTTCCCCATGTTTGACTCCAACATGTAGTGATAGGCCCCAATGCTGGTGCTTGGGTCATCAGCATCATCTAAGGTGCCCTTGGAAAGGAAAGCAGAAAAGGAAAACCTTACTGATTTTTCTTCCCCTTCTTGGGTAGTCGTGAATTAATTCTATGGCTGCACAGTGAGTCTTCTACTACTGTGCTAACCCTGCAGGTATCCACTCTACAACCAAGTCTCCAGCTGATTTTAGATAAAATTGTTAATCTCACCAAGGTTCAGAGTAAGAAGGTTCTGTTATCAGTTTGAATCTAGTTTTTTAGTAGAATGCTGACTGATTATATACTTGCTAAAAGAATAATTATTCAGGAGTTGTTAGCTGCAATCAAGCTGGCCCCTGACTCATGATGACTTCACGTGCAATGAGACAAAACACTGCCTAGTCCTGTGCCTTTCCGTAATAGGTTGTGGATTGGACCATTGTGATCCATAGGGTCTTTATTGGTTGATTTCAGAAATAGATCACCAGGCCTTTCTTCCTAGTTCATCTTAGTCTGGAAGCTCCACTGAAACCTGTGCAGCATCATAGCAACACACAAGCCCCCACTGACAGATGAGTGGTAACTGTGCATGAGGTGCAGAAATCCCCATATTGCACACGGTTTTTGTTGGCGGTGGCATTAAGATTTGTGTGGTTGCCCTCCAAGCCTATCTTCATTGGCTATTGAAATCACAAGACCCTGATCTGGCTCTGATGATAACCAGATTATGTAACTGCCATGGGAAGAATTCTCTGGTTGTATGAATCATTCATATTTTACTGCCACAATTCTTAATGAGAGTTTTTTATAATACACTGCTGTTTGGGCTAGAGACATGAATCTTGGCTTATGTTTTTTCATCCTGGACCACTTAATCTTTAGGAAACAAGGTGGGTGGGTGATGGGTAGAAACGAAATTCTCTTTCACTTTGGTTGGAGGGAGTGGTGGTAAAAAACCTAAAAGGAGCTTTGAATGGCATTCGGGCCAGTTAGCTCTAGCTTACTGTTCCACATCCCATGGCCTTGGATTCCTGGAAAGGTGGGCCATGCCGACTTCATGAGACTGAACAAACAACTGCCAGCATCAGATAGCAGCAAATTTATAGCTTTTGAATGCAATAACATTAACACACTGCTGCTGAAATATTTATGTTGGCTTTTTAAAAATCCCAGGGGAAATCCATCCAAAAGCCTGAAAGCCATATATATTCTCTTTAAGAAACTTCCATGAAAAAAAAAAAAAAAAGATAAATTACATTTACACTGAGAGCCCCTCCTTGCTCCTGAGTAAATTCCACACCTATATAAATCAGGCATCATTTTCCTAACTTCTGTTCCTCAAAGGCACTTGAAATTTACAGGGCTAGAAAATGAAGGCTTCCTTTCATCCTCAGACCCGATATAAAACAGAGCTGGCTTCCTGACAACTCCCTGCCTCGTCAATCACTCTCCTTCCCCTGCCCCTTCCCTTATCTCTCCTCAAAGTGATAAACGCATTTATGAGGAGAAAAGGAACAAAAAAGGTCATTGCTGGTCTTATAGGGCCTCCTTCGTTATCTGCAGCTTCTCCAGAATGACAGAATCTTTTTAGTTAGACTAAGGAGAAGAGAGGAGTCTCTGGGTGGTGCACACAGTTAAGAGCTCGGCTGCTAACCAAAAGTTTGGTGATTCAAACCCATCCCAGAGGCACCTGGAAAGAAAGGCCTGTTGATCTACTTCCAAAGAAATCAGCCACTGAAAACCCTGTGGAGCACAATTCTACTCCGATACACCTGCGGTTACCATGAGTCTGAATTGACTCAACGGCAACTGGTATAAAGAAATAAAGAAGGAAAATCTTAAATGTGGTAAGCAGCGTGGGCCCTGAGGTTTATCCATGCTAAAGGCAAAGCCAGAGGTAGCTAATCCCTTTGTGATGCCACATCTGCCCTTGGAGGCACACAGTGAGACACGTGCCTGGGCTGTATGAAAGCCACAGGTGGGGACCCAGAGCCTCTTTTATGGCTTCAGGTTTGGAAGTAACATGGGTAAGGAGTTCCAGATAATTCATGGGGCAAATAATCTAACTTTTGGGTTTTTGTGAAAACGTCCTAACTAAATTTCTGAGATAGGGTTTTTTGTTCTTAATGCATTTTGCACTTAATTGTGTCCATTACAGAAATTTTCAAAGTTCTCTGAAAGAAATAATTTATATTAACTATGAGAATGCTAACAGCTAACATATATTTGGACAGAAACCTTTCCTTATAATCAAGCAGAAAAGGTGCATTATGGGTGCCAATCAGGGTTTTCTTAAAAATACAGATTGTAGGCCTTCATGCTGGCTGAGAAATTGGCATTTTTCATAGGCACCTCAGATGATTTTTATGATGAATCAAGTTTGGGAAAAACTGACCTAGTTTGTCAGTTAGATTAAAGCAGTATTCAGTTGCATGGGTCATTGGGTCCTAAAAGAATCGATGTTCCTCAAAAAACAATCTAAAAAAATGTCTGCCTTGATCATTAAGAACTATCTATATGGGATCAAATTGACAACAACTTCAAAGATTAGACAGTAGCCTTAGGGGGCAGTGATTTTATGTTAATGAGGGAGGAACAACTCAGAAAAGGAGGGTGAGAATGGTTGCACAACTCGAACAATGTAATCAATGTCACTAAATTGTACACTTAGAAACTGTTGAATTGGTGTATATTTTGCTGTGTATATTCTCAACAACAACAAAATAAATAATTTTTTTAAAAAATGTTGACATAAAAAAAAAAAAACAACATTCAAATAAGCAAATCGAGGTGGCTCAAATCAAATCATCTACTTTGATTTAAGGCTTGATATATTGTGATCCAAGAAAGCTAAAGAATGTTACTGAGATTGGGAATTGGGTACCAGCTCCAGTTTCATCATTTCTAATCCAAGCATTCTTTTTGCTGAAAATGAATGAGTTAATGGGTGAAAATTAGACTTTCATGATTCTTAAACTTTGCTCACTTTAGCATCTCCCAAAGTTCAAGTGTCTCAGTCAGTATATTCCGTGTACCAGCTCTTCCCTTCCCTTGTGGGTACTTACGCTGGTGGAGGCAACTGCTTCCTGAACACTTTCCATAATGAATTCTTTGGTGATCCTGCGGGAGGGCAGCTCATTGAAGAGAGAGTTGATCAGGGCCACTTTAGCTGCATCTCGTCTGGCCTCCGCTCTACTTAAGCAGCACTTGAGAAGGGAAGAAGAAAAGGAGTCATTAAAGGATTCAGCATCTCACCATCTCATCCTTGCATCAATGGGTCTCTGGACATTTCTATTCATACATTTGTTGTCTGGGACTACTCTTCCATACAGACTACTAATCCCCCTGAAGATCATGCACATTTTCTTTCAGCTCTCGGGCTCCTGCAAATGTCTTGGTTGGTCTTCAATTGCTTTTTGTTTTATTTCACAGTCATTGAATGTGTACCATGTACCAGAGGCTTTGTTTACACTGTGAATAAGTAATAATAAAAGTAATAATGGCTACGATTGTGTGCTCGGTGATTTACATTCATTATTAATGCCTTCCTCAAATTCTATCCTAGAGGGAAAAAAAGTAAATAAGAAGAAAATCAGCGAAAGGAGAAGACTTGTAATACAATGATTAAGAACACAGGTCCTGGAGTGAGACTGCTTGGCATTGCCTAGCTGTAAAACCTTGGGCAAGTTAATTAATCTTTCTGTGCCTCAATTTTCTGATTTTCCTCCTCTGTAAAATGGGAATAATAGTAGTCCCTTTGTCACAGGGTTAAGGTTAGGATCAATTAGTTAATATAGATAAAGCTCTGAGAATACCTGGCACACAGTAACACTGTGAGTTTTCTATCACACACAAACGCCCTAGTCTAACACTTTTTTTTCCCTTCAGGTTAGTGCAAGGGTGCTGCAGTTGCTATCAGAGAGAAGATCCTCCCCAAATGTTATGGATATCTGCTGTTTTGCTTTTGCAGCATTTATTCCCCACCTTCCTTCTAATAATGGTTCCCTGATTTTCTTGAAGACCACCCTCTCCACCTTGCTCTCAGTCCATGCGGTTTGGGTGGGACATACTCCATGCCCGGCTCTGAGATGGACAAGTGCCTATAGCCCGGCCAATCAGCACCTCATTCCTTCATCTACAGTGACTGGTTCAGGGCAAGCACTTGACCTAATCCAGCCTTTCCTCGGATTTTTGCTGGAGATTTTGAAAAAGAGACATGCTTTCAGGTAGGTTGCTGGAGCAACTGGAGCCATCTTGCAATAACAAGGGAAGAGGTTGCCCCACAATGATGAAATACAGAGGAAAGCAGAGCCAAGGGATGGGTTATCTCTTGATACTGGCAACTTCATTTGATTATCTGAATCCAGTTGAGTCCAAAGTGCAACAGTGTTGTATTTCTCCATTATGTGAACCCATATTTTACCCCTTTCCCTTAACCCAACTTACACTGGCTTTCTGTCACTTGCAGCCTTAACAGTCCTTATTAATGTAAGAAGCCCTGAACTTTCTTTCCTCTGTCAAACTTTCCATTCCCATACTCGGATTGAGTGCCATGTGGCTTATCCATATACACCTTGGTCACCTCTTCTCCCCTGGCCAGATGACCTTCCCAGAGTTAAGGGCCCAGGCCCAGGTCCTGGTCAATAGGCTGCCTATGATTAATAACTCATTTAAAAAAGGTTCAAGTTTCCCAAATGCAATGTCATTCTCTGTCCTCCTCGCTGGCTTCCCCGTTCTCACATGGGTCTGCTCAGTGTAACCTGATTCTTTTCTGCCCTCTTTTTTTTTCAACTAACAAATCCTTCTCTTCAAGTTTTGCCTCAACATGGGCTCTAGGTGTCCAGATAACAGGGGTGAAACCCTATGAGAACCTGACTGACTTTGGAACCCACATCTGTGGGAGGACCCCAGAGCCAACTTCCTAGAGTTCTAGGGCCCAAACACAGCAATGATTGTGAGGGTGGCTCAGGACCAGGCAATGTTTTGTTCTGTTGTACACGGGGTCACTATGAGTTGGAACCAACTCAACAGCACCTAACAACAAGGGCCTGCTCCAGGGATCCTAATGGGGGACAAGCCCCAGGTGGAGAAGCCCAGGCCAGGGTCCTGGTCAATGGGGCAGCCAGGCGCTCCTGACTCTGCTATTGGGTTGTCTGGACTTTGGGGGCTTATTTCCTCATGGACAAACAAGGAGGCCAGACCCTCTCACCTCCAAGGCATCCTCTAACTACAATGCGTGATTCTCAGAATCGGTAAAGCTTGGTGACTGATTTGAAACAAGAAAAAGTACCAAAGATCATGCTTCATTTTCAGTTTCACAGTCTTCAAAAGGCTCTGAATCACCAACAGGAGAAAGCCAACCCCTCCCGTTTGCTTTCAGCACATCCTCCAACTTCTCCCATCTGCCCCTTGTTGACTTTCTGCACTGTCCCAGGAACACTCCAAACTTGTGCCTTGGGTCCTCCAGGGGCCTGCCTCTCCTCTCCATCTCCACAAACCCAGTTTGAGTCCCCTGAGGCCAGGCTGCAGGCCTCCTTGATTTTCTGTCTTCAGCCTTGTAGAACAGTAACCAGTTGCCATATAGTCAATTGCCCAAACCCAGGGTCAGCGCTTGGAGGTGCTCGTACAGCTTATCGCGTGGATGAAGTAATTACAAGATTTCCGAAAGGGCGAGAAGATGACGCCGAGGAGAATGAAAGAACATCTATGAGGCATCTAACAAACAGAACAATTACAAGCAGGAGGAACTGTTTTAACCTACTACAGATGAGAGATTTCCAATATCTGCTTTACATGAAGAATGGAGCTAAAGTTCTAAAATGTACATGAAAAATAGTTTGGGGTTTTCTCCTCCGTGTTGAATGGCAAGCAAGAAGGTGTTGGGTAGTTTCAGGCAGCAAAGCCGTTCAAGGTTTAGAGTTCTCCCAAGGTTTAGGCCAGCTGTGTTAAGCCAGGGGTCTGGGCAGATAGGTTGGTTTTGCATTATGGACTTGGGTGGGAATTTAAGGAAGCCTGAGTTCTGAGTCAGCAGTCTTCCACTTACACTCAGATTCTCCCTCTTCCAGGAAGCTTTCCCTGACCACTCCCAAGGCCAGGCTGGGAGGATCACTGTCCATGGGGACACTTACCACACTGCAGTATAATTGCCTGCTAGTGCTGTGCCCCACGGCCCCCAGGCTGTGAGCTCATTAGTGGTAGAATCTGTGACTTAGTCATTTCATGTCCCCTGCGCCTGGCATACACTTTGTTGAAGGAACGAATGAAGCCTGGGAAACTCAAACAAAAGTCACAAAAAGCATCTGACATAATGCTCAAGAAATCCTCTTAAAGAAGAGAATTAAAGATAAACACTTCTTATCCTTAAGCAAAAGAGTCCCATTTCAATATACTTTGTATAGTATGTATAAAGGAGCCCTGATGGCACAATGGTTAAGCGCTCGGCTGCTAACTGAAAAGTCACTGGTTCAAACCCGCCAGCAGCTCCATGGGAGACAAGACCTGGCGATTTACTCCTATAAAGATTTCAGCCTAGGAAACCCTATGGGGCGGTTCTACTCTGTCACATGGGGTCTCTATGAGTCAGAATCAACTCGATGGCACCTAACAACAACAGTATGTATAACCTAGTAATATAAAAATACATAATACCTGAATTTTGAGGGATAATTGGCCATTGAGTTCGGATACTCTGAGATTACTTTTTGCCTGAGCGTAGGATATGTTTACTATTCTTTAGAAAATCAGTCCCCCATTGAAAGCAAGCAAATTTTTGCAAGTATAACCTGACATCTGTAGGAGCAATGTTTTAATAGGAATTTGGCTTTTCTAAATCTGTAATAGAGCCTTTGGGGTTTTAGAATTTAGAGAATTAGATTCAGATCCGGACACTCTCAAGAAATTTTATGTAACTTTCTATCTAAATAATAGCGATTTAAACCATCTTTCATAGAGAGAGACCTAGTAAACACTACTTAGATAAAAGAAGCTATCTATTTTAAATAAGACCAGCTAAGTACTAGATCAAAGGCACCCACATGTATTTACAACCAAATGGCACTACTTTGGAGATCAAAGTGCTGCCTGGCTGAGAGAACAGAAAGAGCCTTATATCGAGAAAGCATTAAAAAGGACTATGGAGACTTAACCAATATCAAGATGTTTAATGCAGACACATGTCTTTACTTATTTTATTGTTTCAATTTCCAGAATTTTTGGTTAAAATGGGAGAGAAGGTGTACCAATTAATAAGTACATAAAATAAAATAAATTCTGAATCATCAAAGGGCTTTTCTTGCTATTGTTTTTGCATTTCTGCGAGACAAGTACTTCAGAATGTCTATGTAATGTTAACCAGCCGCTTTCTTCCAAATTCTTGAGGAACAAATCCAAGCTAGCAAGGTCTGCATATTTTTCTTTAGGGATCTTTTCATGGGACCTCTCAAACAATATGAACCTGTACTTGGGCAAGAAATTTAGCCGGATAGCGATCTACGTGGCATCTCTAAATCAGTGTGGATGCTGCTATAACAACAGGCACTGTTGGTGTTAATGTAACGTCAAACTGTGGGGAATCCTGCAAGAAAATAAAATACGGCAAGTGACAAGACATTTTATTGATGTGCCCAAACCGGCTGTCAAAGACATCAGTTGGGGAGTGAATGAAGTATGATGTTATTTCAAAGCAACTTCCTGCTAGAATTAGACTCCCCAGGTTGTATGGTTTTTCCTGGCTTTTTTTTCCAGCCAGGCCCCAATCGTAAAGACAGATTTGTAAACCATGCCTTATCTGCTAACCAATCTGACTCGTTAATATAAAGAGACAATTTCTGTCCTTTGCATTCTGTGAAAGTGCACAGCTGGAATATTTAATAGTTGAGATTTTACTGAAGTCAGCTGTGGATTTCTGAGGCATGTGGAGCCACATGCTTTCTAAGTGGCTAGCAGACCTCACCCAGACATTTATCCTGATGCTCAGATGCCTTTCATTTGCTGATAGATTAAAAACCACTCTAATCATTTCAAAGCCTCCTGGCTGTAATTTAAAATTAAAGAAAATAATATTAAGAATGTCTGTGGCGTTGCTTAGGAAAGCTATTGAAAGGCTGTGGTACCCACCTCCAGTGGAGCCCCCAATGATGCCTGCCTCCTGGCATTTACACCCTGGTGTAGTCCCCTGAGGGGACTCCCCTCCAACACTGTTCCAGGG